ACATATATGGTCAATTAATATTTGATAAAGGAGCCATGGACATACAATGGGAAATGACAATCTCTTCAACAGATGGTGCTGGCAAAACTGGACAGCTACATGTAAGAGAATGAAACTGGACTATTGTCTAACCCCATACATAAAAGTAAATTAGAAATGGATCAAAGACCTGAATGTAAGTCATGAAACCATAAAACTCTTAGAAAAAAACATAGGCAAAAATGGGACTATATTAAGCTGAAAAGACACCATCAATGGAACAAAAAGGTACCCTACAGTATGGGAGAATATATTTGTAAATGACAGATCTGATAAAGGCTTGCCATCGAAAATATATAAAGAGCTCACCCACCTCAACAAATAAAAAACAAACAATCCAATTAAAAAATGGGCAGAGGGACTGAATAGACAGTCCACACCAGGGATGCTCCATGCCTGCACCCTAAACATCTGTAAGGTCCCAGTATCTTGTGCGTCTACTACACAACTGTCCTTCTGTTTCCCTTTCTATGAATCTCTGCAGGGATTTCTCCCACAAACCACCCTCAGTCCCTAATGAACACAACAACATCCTGAGAGTCTGACCCACTGAGCCCCTTCCCTATGGAATGTGCCAGAAAACAGAAAAATTTCACCTGCAGTGAAAGTCTCCTTACCTGAAGATGTAGAGTCAGCCACAGAGGATGTCACAGAAGGGAAGCCTCTGGTCTGCTGCTGAAGGTCAAAGGCCTAGAGAAGCGGAGGCCTAGCCTCCTCCTCTGCATTCAGGGCACAAAGGGGGTGTGCTCCTCACGGGGACCCTGCCATACACTGCCCCGTCCTGGAGCCAAGGCCCTGCAGGCGCCTCCAGGCTGGGTCCTTCTGGAATGAAGAGAACCCTGAAGGAAGGCGCATGCGCTCTACCTGCCTCCCAAAGACTGGGTTTTCACTACCCCTCCTGCCCACGGGGAAAAAGCACAGGACTCCAGACATCACTCTGGTTGTCCGTGGGCGCCCCCTGCCGGCAGTCAAGGTCAGCGCAGGATTACAGGAGGAAAAGACAAAACCACCTGTGTAGGGGACGGCCTTTGTTTTCTCACATGTCTGAAGGCAGAATGGGAAGGCACCTTACCTCATGTCTGAACACAGCATGGGAAAGCACCAGCTTGAGAACTGGTGCAGTCCTTGGAAGTTATCTGCCCACAAAAACATCTTTTCCTTGAAGACGAGCCAGGATGCCTCACACTGAAAATAGGGAGACCTTGAGGATGTGTAAAAACACCGCTCCTACTTACTATGCAGCTTCTAAGAAAATCAACAAGATGTTCTGGCCTGTCCCCCCTGAGAAGGGAAAGATGAGTACAGCCCTTGGCTGAGGTTCGAGAAAAGCAGTATAAAAATGAAGGTGCTGTGCACATCGGGGCTGCAGCCATTCATTGTCTGTCTGTCTGTCTGTGTTGTCTGTGTTTTTTGTTCTCTCATTTCACTCAAAGAAAATGTGTGGCATGCTACAATCTCTCCTACAACATCCTTTCTGCAACTAGCAAAACTTGTAGTCAACACATAAAGTGTGGGTTCCATGAACGCTCATCAGCATCGAGGCAGGAAGTTTTTTAGAATCCAAAACACTGTATGTAATGAAAATACTGATGCCTAAAAATGATGACAGTGCAGATCAAAATGCATCCAGACTGGTAAGAAAGAAGTCAAACTGTCACTTTTTGCAGATGACATGATATTGTACATAAAAAACCCTAAAGAATCCATTCCAGAACTACTAGATCTACTATTTGAATTTAGCAAAGTTGCAGGATACAAAATTAATACAAAGAAATTTGTTGCATTCCTATACACTAACAATGAACTAGCAGAAAGAGAAACAAGGAAAACCAATTCCATTTACAATTGCAACAAAAAGAATAAAATACCTAGGAATAAACCTAACCACGGAAGTGAAAGACCTATACCCTGAAAACTGCAAGACACTCTTAAGAGAAAATAAATCCAACACTAATAAATGGACACACAGCCCACACTCTTGGCTAAGTAGAATTAATATTGTCAAAATGGCCACTCTGCCTAAAGCAATCTACAGATTCAATGCAATCCCTATCAAAATATTGACAGCATTGTTCAATGAACTAGAGCAACTCGTTCTAAAATTCATATGGAACCACAAAAGACCCTGAATAGCCAAGGCCATCCTGAGAAGGAAGAATAAAGCAGGGGGAATTAAACTCCCTGACTTCAAGCTCTACTACAAAGCCACAGTAATCAAGAAAATTTGGTACTGGCATAAGAACAGACCCATAGACCTGTGGAATGGAATAGACAGCCCAGATATAAACCCAAGCATATATGGTCAATTAATATATGATAAACGAACCATAGATATACAATGGGGAAATGACAGCCTTTTCAAAAGCTGGTGTTGGCAACACTGGACAGCTACATGTAAGAGAATGAAACTGGATTATTGTCTAACCCCATATAGAAAAGTAAACTCAAAATGGATCAAAGACCTGGATGTAAGTCATGAAACCATAAAACTCTTAGAAGAAAATATAGGCAAAAATCTCTTGGACATAAACATGAGCAACTTCTTCATGAACATATCTCCCCGGGCAAGGGAAACAAAAGTAAAAATGAACGGGTGGGACTGTATCAAACTTAAAAGCTTCTGTACAGCAAAGGACACTATCAGTACAACAAAAAGACATCCTACGGTATGGGAGAATATATTCATAAATGACATATCCGATAAGGGGTTGACATCGATATTATATAAAGAGCTCACACACCTTCACAAACAAAAAGCATATAATTGTATTAAAAATGGGCAGAGGAGCTGAACAGACACTTCTCCAGAGAAGAAATTCAGATGGCCAACAAGCACATGGAAAGATGCTCCACATCCCTGATCATCAGAGAAATGCAAATTAAAACCACAATGAGGTATCACCTCACACCAGTTAGGATGGCCAACATCCAAACGACAAACAACAACAAATGTTGGTGAGGATGTGGAGAAAGGGGAACCTTCCTACACTGCTGGTGGGAATGTAAACTAGTTCAATCATTGTGAAAAGCAGTATGGAGGTTCCTCAAAAAACTCAAAATAGGAATACCATTTGACCATGGAATTCCACTCCTAGGAATTTACCTTAAGAATGCAGGAGCCTAGTTTGAAAAAGACATAAGCACCCTATGTTTATCTCAGCACTATTTACAATAGCCAAGAAATGGAAGCAACCTAAGTGTCCGTCAGTAGATGAATGGGTAAAGAAGTGGTACATATACACATGTAATATTATTCAGTCGTGAGAAGAAAACAAATCCTACAATTTGCAACAACATGGATGTAGCTAGAGGGTGTTATGCTCAGTGAAATAAGCCAGGTGGAGGAAGACAAGTATCAAATGATTTCACTCATCTATGGAGTATAACAACAAAGAAAAAAACTGAAGGAGCAACAGAGCAGCACTCAGAGAACCCAAGAATGGACTAACAGTTACCAAAGGGAAAGGAACTGGGAAGGATGGGTGGGAAGGGAGGGATAAGGGGGGAAAGGGGGCATTATGATTAGCACACATAATGTAGTGGGGAGGGACATAGGAGAGGCAGTATACACAGAGAAGACAAGTAATGATTCTATAGCATAGTTCTACATTGATGGACAGTGACTGTGATGGGGTATTTGGTGGGGACTTGATAACAGGGGGAGTCTAGTAACCATCATGTTGTTCAAGTAATTGTACATTAACGATACAAAAAAACCCCTCTATGTTCATGTTGAAACATGCAGAAAAAAACATTTGGCAAAATTCAACATCAACTCATGATAAATATCTCTAAAAACAAAGTGGGTTGAGAGGGAACATGACTCAATATTTTAAGGAAATATAGGACTAACCCACAGCCAAAATCACAATGGGAAAAGCAGAAAATGTTTCCTATAAGATCAGGAACAAGACAGGGACAGTACTACAAGTCCCTGCCACAGCAATCAGAAAGAAAAAGAAATCAAAGAGAACGAAAGCTCCCCAAACTGGTGAGGAGTAAGTAAAATTGCCATTATTTGCAGATGGCATGGCACTCTATCTAGAAAACTCTAACGAGTCCAACAAAAATTATTAAAACTAAGCAATGAATTCAGTAAAACTGCAGGAAACAAAATGAATATACAAAAATATATTAAAAAAACAAATTTGCAGAAAGAGAATGTAAGAAAACAATCCCACTTGCAATTGCAGCCAAAGTAGTAAGAGATCTGGAGGATGTTTAACCAAGGAGGTGAAAAAGCTGTACTCTGAAGATGCTAAGATTACTGACGCAAGTTAATGCAAAGCATCTCATGCTCATGGAATGCAAGAATTAAAAAGGTTGGTATTCACACTAAAATAAAAGTTGGTACTACTGTTAAAACTACCTGCAGCTCTGGGAGGAAATTGTAAGTTGGTGCAGCCACCATGGAAAGCAGGATGGAGGTCTCTCAGAGAACAGCTGTGCTCTCTGTAATATTATGGGATGAGCACTGGGAAGGACACTGAATGGTGACTTGCTAAGGATGCTAAAAGAAATTACCTACCTGCTTCATATGACCCTGGAGGTAGAGAGCAGCAGATGTATGCAGACATGGACCAAGTAGAACTTTCATGAGTTGACTTTAAGACGAAGTTGTTCCCTGTGGAGACCTTGTAGGGAAAACAAAAATGTCACTAAGGGGGTGAACCTGACCCACTGGGCTTCTCCACTAAGAAGGGACAGTCCACTAGTAGATGGCTTCTTTTCGGAGGCAGGGAGGGTGGGTCACAGGGGAAGCCGTGATTTGCAGGCAACCTGCCTCGTGCAAGGGGGTGGGAAGGGTGCTCTCACCTGTGACTATTCAGCCTCCCTGCTGAGGTCAATCTCCCCAGCAGCCCGCCCTAAAGTCTCCCACCTGACACCTCCTAGGCGGTTGGGGCGAGCCAGCTGCCTTCCTCAAGCTCCTGTGCACAGGCACGCAGACACACACTGTCCCAGGCCGCACAGTGCTCTAACACACACACACCACCACACGTGCAAGAGCTACCACACACAGACACATGGAGGGGAGCCGACACCACAGCGACGCACTCACCAGGGAGCCAGGCCGTGCAACGCAGCGGCAGGGTCCTTGACACACCCCGGCCTTCCATGCTGACCCGTATGGGGGCACAGGAGGCTCCCCACCCCCGCGGATGCACCCTCACACAGCCTATGCCTGCGTGCCCACCGACCAGACACCTGACGTGGAGGGCCGTGCTGGGCGTCCGTTGCGGGAGGGCTCCGTTCCCTTACGACGTTGCCCCCACCCCCAACAGACACGAAACGACACCGCCAGCCACCGCCAACTGTCGCTCACCAACAGTTCCCACCCCCAACCAACGCCATCACCAGCCTTGGATGCTACCCTGCCCTCCCACTCTCAAAGCCGCCGCCTTGTCCTCGCCCTCTGGGTGCGCACCTGCCGACGGCAGCCTTGGAGGTCCGCCCTGCGCACGGACACCCGCCTCCCGCCGCTGCGGACGCGACAGCCCACCACAGATGCAGCCCGTCCATGCTGCGGCACACCGCAGACCCCGCTCCCCGCCTTCCGCCGCCCTCTCAGGGCGCACCTGCAGACGGCGGGCTGGGCTCCGCCCCCGGCCACAGCCACAGCCACAGCGGCGAGGCGCCCGAGCCTGCAGCTTCCCGCTGCAAATGCCTTCCCCCCCCATCCCTCCCCGACCCGTCGCTGCCAGCCCCCTGGGGGTGGCCGCTTACCGTGAGCTGCGGCTGCGACGACAGGCCTACGTGAGGAAGACGGCGCCCGCTCCCTGGCGAGGGGGCACACCTGGAGCCGGCAGGAGGCGACTGCGGGCGGCGCAGGGCTTTGGCGAGGGAGTGCAGCGTCACTGGGAGAAAGCCTTAATAGCAGGTGAGTGGGAGGCACCGGCGGGCAGGCGCAGGCTGGGAGCTTCCTCTGCCGCAGCTGGCTTAGCACCGTTAGAAGTAAAGATGGCAGGCATGGGAAGTGAGCGGTGTTGGCCGTGGAACGAACATGCGCAATAGGCTGCGCGCAGACCCCGCCCCCTTAGGAGAGTGCCCTTTCCCCCAAAGAGTCAGGCAGTGGAAACGGGAGAGGTAGGCAGCGGGAAGAGCATGCGCGACTCGGCTGTGCGCCAACACCACCCCCTTAGGTCGCTGCCCCTCGCCTCAAAGAGGCGGGCACTTGCAACAGCGGGGAGGGGTAGGCGGGACGAGCGTGCGCGGCACCCCACTCCCTAAGGGCGCTGCCCGTCCCCTCAAAGAGGCGGGCACTTCAAACAGCGGGTACGGAGGGCAGGCGGGACGAGCATGCGCGGCACTCCACCCCGTTAGGGCGCTGCCCCTCCTCCCAACGAGGCGGACACTTGAAACGGGGGACGAGCATGGGCGGCGACGTCTACGCGCCCATTAAGAAACGGGGGAGGTGGCAGGAGAGAAGAGCATGCGTGGCTAGGCTGCCCGCGCGTACATCACCCCTTAGGACCCTGCTCCTCCCCACAAAGAGGCGGACACAGTAAGCTGCGGGGCTGGGAGACGGGAGCATAGACAAAAAATGTTTTTAATTTTCTTTCTGAATAAAATCCTTTAGTGCTTTCCATTATCCACCAGAGCAAATATAAACTAATTGTAGCACTCAAGAACTGCCTCATCAGGCCTAAATATGACTTCCAAGTTCCACTCCCTACCCTTCCAAACAAAGATTACGTTATTTCCCAAATGTGACTTGGCACGTGTTCCCCTACTTTGTCATACTTTTTAATCCTCTCTGTTTCTACTTAATACAATTCTACTCATTCTTCAAGGTCCAGTTTAAATGTTACTTCATTCACAAACTTTTCAATATGTGAGATAGTTCTACTCTGAATTTTCATAGAGCATTACACTTTCGTAAAGCACTTTTCATATTTTCTTTACCTTGACTTTACTCTCCTAATGAAAGGTAATTTGTTGGAAGGAGAGCTGGTGTTTCATTTGTGTTGTGTCGCTGTCCAGATTCCAGGACTGACCAGCTTTGTACAAATTTGCTTGATATGGAAAATATTAGGTTAAATTCAGTAGAGTAGAGAAAGTGGCACATTTTTTAGGGTAAATGTTTCTTCTTTTAGAGAGAGTTCTTTCAATTGGCAAGCACAGGAAGAAACATAGCCACTATGAGCACTGAATTCCTGAAACCCAAGGAATCATAGTGACCTCCCAAAGAAATTAAAATGATCAGGTTGCCTAACAACCATTTGATCAATAAATAGAAGAGATGCCCTCACAAAAAATAAAAATAAAAAAGTACACACTTCCAATTGTAAAATAAATAAGTAACCTGGATGTAATGTATAGCATAAGGAATATAGTCAAAATATTGTAACAGCTTGGTATGGTGATAGCTGGTACCTAGAATTACCATGTATATAAATGTTGAATCACTGTGTTGTACACCTGAAACTAATGTAATACTGTGTGTCAACTAATAAAAAATAATTATCTAAAAAAAAAAATGATCAGGTTGCCATAGTATATATGGACAAGGACATATTAGTTAAGTCCCCTAAATTTTGTATAAAAAGTTAAATGCATGTAGACTTAACTCATTCCCACAGACTTTACAGGTACGATATACAAAGCATCTAATTGCTAGGAAATAAAATAATCAGACCAGTTTTGCTCTTGAAAGACGATTCTCTCATGAAATGGATGCTGCCTGATTCTTGTATAAATTATGATTTCTTCAGGTAGCTGTTGAAATCTTAGGCATAATTTATATTATACCAATGAATATTTATAGAGGCACATATTTCCAAAATTATTATAGAAGACAAGAAGGAAAAATAAGATTCAAAATACAAGTATGTACTTTTCTGCCAATTTATCCAGCAATCTACTCATAACCAAAACAGATTTAATCAGTCTCTTTTTGCTATTCATATAAGCATGCCTCTTTTATTTCCAGTTCAGATCTTGTCATATTGGCATGAGTGACATCAGCTGGGCATCCTTGGGGAGGTAAGAGGAGAGGGACTGGAGGAGCTGTGTGGACAATTGTTTGGACAGTCCTTCAGTAAGCCCCCCTTGGAGAGTGTTTTGTTGGGTTGTAGGAGCCAATGGAAGTGAAGGGCTCTCAAACCATTCTGTACACCAAACCATGAGTCTTAGGGATTTGGCATGGTTGTAAGGATATGCAGCTAGTCAATTTCAGAATCATGCGTTACAGTGTAGAGACTTCAGGAGATTCATTCCATTGTAGAAAGGGGGCTAATTTACCAAGTCTTTGAATTGCCTCATGAAATAATTTAAAGATCAGTTGAAAAGGAAGCCAACTTATCTTTCCCTATTTCATGAGTGGTCTTTGAAGTTGGGGTTATTATTATTATTATATGTATTATTGTTTTCTAAATAAATCACATGGAATTAGAACAGTTTCTGGCACAGAGTAAGTGTTAAAAGAAGAGTTGACTTTATTGTTTTTATTTTTATTTGCCTTCTACCAACTAAATTCAATGTAAGGTGAATTACAGAGAGAGCCATAGCCTGTCATATCCCACCAGATTCCATGGAGGCCTGTGCTGGGCATGGGTTTTGTACAGAAGCTCATGAAAGACAGTGCCCTCCCCCTAGGCATAAGCCTGGTTTCCTTCCATAGTTTAGGAAAGGAAACCAGATTCCCAAACCAAACAACTTTCAAAAGAAGTAGGAGAATGTGTACACAGGGAATAAATTGGAAATAATGATTTTTGAGAGGAATCTCCAAGGATAAGAGCCAGAACCTCTTAGAGAGCTCTGTCCTAAAAGCTGTATAACTAGAGTTTTGGGCTGTTTTCCTCCCTAGAGCTTACCCCGAGGTCATAAAGTGCCTCAAATCCCCCAGAGTCCTCTGTTTCTCATCTCCCTCAGGGCCCTGCCTTCAAAGGTGTAAGAACAAATTTATATACTGGTTTTTGCTGAGGGGTTAGCACAGACTCTGTATAAAAAGGCACCTGTGTCTATTACATATTTTTATATAGATACACTCATGATTCAATATCTGTAAATATACATATCTATATAACTATACTACATAAATATACTTAACATAGTGCCTGTAAAAGAAAATATACATATAATTCTATTCAAAGTATATGTCATAGGATAATATTATTGAGATGTAAAACTGTGTTTTTTTGCTCCATAATTTCTCCTGACATTTCCAAGAACTCTGTGTTCCCTGGTTTCAGAATTGTGTCCAGGACTACACTCAATAGCTACTTGATGGAAGGCTTTATTTCTTCCCAACCCCTGGGAAAACCTAAGATCACCTGACGAGGTTATGCTAGGTGCCTTAAACTAAGAGAGGGAAGGAAGAAGGTTTGAGGGAAGCATGAGAGAGGAGCAGTTTCCTAAACCGGGAAGAGGAGCATTTGGGCAGTTCCCACCAGACATGCACCCATGCTCCACTTCCAGCGACTTGGAAGTTCCTGGAGTGACTGTGAGGTGGGCCTAGGGAGGCTGTATCCTTTCGCAGTGTAGGCGAGGAAAAATGGAAACTCAGACATTACCTTTTCCAAGTCACCAATAGATGGCAGAGTGGAGATTTAAGCCCAAAACAGTGGCTTTTCTAATGGCCGTGAGAATGGTTGCCTTGTACTTTGGAAGCGGATGTGTAGGAGAATTTTCTTTCAAGTACCCCCCAAAGGAAATGGTAGAAGGTCCGTAATTCTGAATTAAATGACGTATGTTTGAATCACAGCTGAGCAATCTCAGATGTTATCACACTCTTGGATGTTATCATCTGCAAAGAGGAAATAATAGTGTCTAGCCTATTTGTTTATGATATAATTGAACTGACAGGCACTTTGTAAACTGAATGACTACATATTATCATTACCTCCTGACCTTTAAGACTGTCTCCATAATCAATAACTACATAAAAATACAAGATAAGCAAGGGTTCATAGACATGAGACCCATCTTTTTGGGTATATACTTAGTATTTTCTCAAAGTGATAAATTTTTCCCTAGAATATTAACCAAAATAGTATACATGCATGCAAATTTAATCTACATCCATTAATTGATACTCCAGGAAGCTTGATTGCAACAGTAGAATTATTATTTGTACAAAGAAACAGAATATAGAACCAGAAATTGCATTCTGATGTGAAAGAAGCCTAAGTTTTGTGTAAACAGATTTTGATTCGAGACTCGATTTTGTAACTTTTTAGACCTGTAACGTTAGGCATGTTCACCCCCCTGATGAAAATGTATCAATATTCTAAATACTGACAGTAAATAATACCTATAAGGTAAATTAAGTATAATTCTTGAGGAAATTGTTATTATGTGATGAAGCAAAGCAGATCAATGTGAATATAAGTTTTGGATAAATCCACATCATGAATCAACAAAGTGAGTTACCTCCTTTATTAATTTTGGAAACTGGTCCAAAAAGCAGCCACACAGTGAGGTGTTGTGTCATCATCATCACCTTCATTGCCACGAGCTAAATGTGATTCTAAGAATAAATGTGAAGGTGGCAAATTTCTTAGTTGCATTAATTATGGCCAAGAAGTCATGTGTTGTACATACTCATCTTTAGTTTTATCTTAGGAAAGTGGAACCCATTTTCCTGTTAATCATGCTGGGAGCTTTTATTGATGAATTTTGTTATGTTAAGAATCAGCTGTTATTCTGTGGCCTGTCATTTACCAGGACCATACATCAAGGTGCAATTTTCCTCCAAAGCAGCTTTTTTCTACTGACCAACAGGGATTAAACAACAGATCTGGATCCTCTATATTCTTTGCCCCTCTCTGAAGCACTTTTAATCTACTTCAGAGATGTTTAAGAAATTTGTGTGCAGCAAGTAATGCCTGCTAGTTGAGTAAGTTAATCATTTCATGTATTGTTTTTAACCTGCCTACTTCCAAAGTGAATTATTGCTGAGTTACTAATGGACTAACTGAATTCATGAATATGCTTGGGGATTGTTTCCTCAGTTGCTACATTTATTAAATGAAAGTTAAGGTTCTTCATTATAGAGTTAAAAAACTGAATACTTAATATTCTTCCCACCACAATATAACTCAGAAAAAAAATCTTTTCTTCACTATAGTCAAATCAACTCTTTGTGCCTCCCCACATATGATATATTCTCTCATGTTTTCATGCCATTCCATGTACTATTCCCTCCTCTCTATCATGAGCCTGCTAGACTCATACTGGTCCTTCACTTCTAGGATCAGGCATTGCTTCCTTCCCAGACCATCCATTTACTCATTCATTCATTCATTTATTCATCCAATAAAAGCTTAATAAGCAATGATTAAGTGGCAGACACAGTGCTGGGCACTGGGGACAGTCCAATGTGGGACATATTTGCAAGGATAGTTACAGTCTGTTGCGTATTAATGGGTGCCCACAAGAGGGAGGTTGAATGCAGCCAAGGGGCAGGGTGCAGAGGTTAAAGGATGTGTCCCAGAGGAAGTAGCCCAAGTTCAGTCTTCCAGAGCAAATTCAACTGGGAGAAAGGCCTGTTTACTTTTGTTAGGAACCATTTGATTGGAAAGAACGACAAATTGAGTTAAAGAGAAGTTTATTTTAAAGAAACTGAAGAATCTCACAGAATCCAATAATGAGAAGTGGTTTGAAGGGATGCGTTGGGCAGGTAGAGTTAGATTCCACCACCTCCTCCACCAGCTTTTCTCAACTGCCCCTATCCCATTTCTCACCACTCAGAAGATCACCATTCCTGTTAGCACCGAGTAGGGCAGAGCATTGAACTGTTGCAGTTCAGCCAGGTACACGATTAATTTCTGGAAGCATTTTCATAGTCTGAATGTGAAAAACAGGCAGTAATGGTGTGTGCCAACAGAGTTATTTGCTGTTTTCCCTTACTTTCAGTAAGGAAACCTGGACTGTAGTATGTCCCTCTTCTGATAGACTGCAGCTGACAAGGAGAAAACACCTTCAGACACATTTACTTTTCCTTTCAAGACCCTAGAACTTAGCCATCAGGGAGCCGATGGCTTGAGTTTTAGGACACAGATTAACACAGAGAGCAACTGAACCAGCTGCTTTTTCTCCTCTCTCCATGGACTACTGGCCTCACCTTGACATGGCATTTTCCTTTGCCCTGCTGGGACCCCACGGCCAATTCCACATATCCTCCTAAGGCGTGTAGTTTGCCAACCCACTCCCAAGTATCATTTTGTTGGGAGGTTAATTAAAGTGGGTTTATAAAGAAGAATTTGGGGGATCTCATGGAATCCAGTCTCAGGACAGCCTTCCTGAGATATGAGAAGACTATAGGCTCTCTCTGTGTCTCTGTCTCCTTCATGTTCTCAGCCTTAGCCTGAATATTTGCTGTTTTCTCTTTCTGTAAACTAGTTTGCTTCAGGGTGATGCTTCCCCATAAATCGGCCTGTGAGGGGCTTTGACATGCTATCGTCTTAATTCCAGTTCCAGCCTTAGGTGATCTTGTAGATCCTGGTCCCCCACATGGTTTGACCATGTTTTCTGGGTCTGTTGTTTCTAATTCCAGAGAGGATGGGCCCTGTCTTACTCTCGTGCTCTTCTCTGATCCAGTAAGCTGTGGGCATAACTTTGGGACTGCTGGTAAAAATACAGTGCGTAGGCCCACCACATCCAGTGGGACTTTGGGAGGCTATGTCTAGTGACGGGAAAATGATCTGAGCTGGTGTACCAAATATGTCCTCCACAGCATGAGCATGAGAGGTGGAGGAGGTAGAGTAGAGAGTTCAGCACATGTAGGGATGATGAAGGGCCTTGACGCCATGCCAAGGAGTGAAGGAGATGAAATGCCAAACTCTGGCCCCTTCAGACCTTTCCGTGCGGCGCACTTTCTGCCCGGAGGGAGCACCATCCCTCCTTTCCCTCACTCACTGTGGGCTTGCCCTGTGGGTTTTGGCTTAGATGTACCTCCTCTGAAATACCCACCCCTCCCGACCTCCCCAAACTGGGTGATCTGCTGCGTTTCCCCGGCTCTGTGTGATTGCTCTGAGCAGTGCCCATATCCCACTCTGCATTCTGATTACCTGTTCACTTTTCTCTCTTCCACTAGAATTTCAGCATCTTTGTTACTAGCAGAGGGTTCAGCAATCTTAAACATCCAATAAACATCTAAGGAACGAATCAGTCAGTGTTTAAGTGAGGAGGTAAGTCAGACGACAGCAGCACCTCTTTCCTTGCCTGAAGGTTAAGTGTGGTTTTGCCTCTGAGGTAGACCAGCTGGAGCCCTCTTGGCCCCTATCCTGTGAGCCCTCCTGCAACTTCTCTGGTCTCAATCCTGGAACTCTGGATGAGAATTCTCCCCAGGCACCTCTCTTCTCTTTGTTCTCTACCCACTTCCTGCATGACCAATCTAGATTATGTTCTCTGCTCATCATCTGCTCACCACTGGATCATCTCTCAGGGTTTGCAGATACCTGCCCCAAGCC